GAATGCTTATGCCCCCCCCCCCCCCAATTCATATGTTGAAATCCTGATCCCCAAAGTGATAGAATTAGGCGGTGGGACCTTTGGGAAGTTATTAGGCTCTAGACTCATGATTAGAATTAGTGCCCTTATAAAAGAGACCCCACAGACCTCCCTCTCCCCCCTTCCACCAAAAGTAGGCTGTCTACAACCCAGAAGAGGGCCCTCAACAGAACTTGACCATGCTGGCATCCTGATCTGGACTTCCAGCCTCTGAAAAAGTGAGGAATAAAATTTTGCTATTTATAGGCTACCTGGTTTATGCTATTTTGTTATAGCAGTTGAAATGAGTATGACAGAGTAAGGATAAGATATTACTATAATACACACAGAGTGGCATATAACTTCCATTGGGAAAAGTTAAGACATACGATTATTTTCCTAATTTAAGACTGTGAAAATCACTTCCATGTCATTAAATTTTTAATTTTTCTATAAAATTTATACAACTAAAGAAAAAAAGTAACATCAGCAGCACAGTGAAAAAGCTAAGCAATAAGTTGCTTCCTAGCATTCTTTTTCCTCATATTCTAGAAGGAAAGATCTACTAATTGTGAGACTATGCAAATGTCCCACCCACAATAAAACTATACTTTTCCTACTGCCATTACTGACCTGTTTCAGTATTCTGTAAGGACTAAGATAATATAAGAAGCTGAATGATGGTCAGAATATAGTTCATCACAGAAGCTGAACCTCAAGAAGCCTGAGGCAGTGAAAAGAAAGAAAGGGACAGGGCGTGTAAGCCAAATTATCTTATGATCCATTGGGATCTCTGTGCTTTCTGAACAAAACAGGCTGGGCAACCCACCAGTGAATATGGTCTCCTGTTAGCCATTCACTGCTGGGTATAAAAAGTCTCAGGATAGCATTTAGCAGACATACAGATGTATCTCATCAGGGTCCTAGACTCACAGAAGGCTGGCTCTGGAATAGATCACAGATCACTACAGGGGCTCTCATGGTCTTTTGAATGGGCAATTTCTTTGTTGTAAGCCTTGCACTGCATGAAGTTGAGTAGCCTTGGCTCTCCTACTAAATGCCAAATCATCCCCAGTTTCTGTGACACAAAAATGTTCCCATTCCCATGTGTTTGCAAAGCCCCCCTTGAAATGGTACTGTCCTGGATTGAGAACCACTGATGCCAGCACAGAGACTTCCAATGGGCAATCTGTTCCTGAGATTATGCCCTAGAGTACGCCAATGATAGACACCACTAGCCCATCACTGAACCCTTTTGAGTCAAGCCTAGATTCAAACTCAAAAAGATTTCAAGCCTAAAACCTTCTAGTCCTTCCTGATCACATACTGCAGTGAGGTCATAAATCAAACTATACTTTAAATGTATCGGTGAGCTTATTGATTCTTAGTGAAAAACTACAGTGAATACTTTAGAAAAATAAAATAAAAAATTTCTCCAGCAAATAATCACCTCTCAGTCTATTCTTTCTTACAAATATATTTTTAATTATCAAGATTTGCCTCATTCCTATAGACACAAGATTAGAGGAGAAAGAAATGTGGAACTACTATGGGAAGCAGTCTGGAGATTCCTCAAAAAATTAAGAATAGAGCTACCATATAACCTAGAAATCCCTCTCCTGGGTATATACCTGAAAAACTCAAAAACATGTATTCACAAAGATATATCACCCCTGTGTTCATTGCAGCATTATTCATGGTGGCCAAGACATGGAAACAAACAAAGTGTCCTGCAATGGAGGACTGGATAAAGAAGATGTGCTATATGCATACAATGGAATACTACTCAGCCATAAGAAAGGATGAAACACTGCCATTTATAACAACATGGGTGGACCTTGAGAATATTATGCTAAGTGAGATAAGTCAGTCAGAAAAAGCTAAGAACCATATGACTTCACTCATATGTGGGATATAACACTAACTTGTGGACACAAATAGCATTGTGGGTGGTGGCTGCCAGAGGGAAGGGGTGGGGGAGTGGAGGGTGAGGGGGGTCTTAATATATGGTGACAGGCAAAGATATGACTTTGGGTGGTGAGCACACAGAGCAATATACAGATCTTATAACATAGAAACCCACACCTGAAACCTGTATGTTCATATTAACCATTGCCACCCCAATAAATTTAATAAAGTATTATTTTTAAAAAAAGAAATGATGTAAAAGACCAAAAAAAATAGACATCTTGAGTTTGACTTCCTTTCCCCAAGTCTATATTTTAAAAGTAAAATCAGTAAAACAACATGTAATATAATTATTCTAGTATACCTATCTCATGAAAAAAGACCTTAGGTTTATAAAAGAGAATGATGCTTTATTTGAATTGCTGACGTGTGTGTACTTTTTTCATGCCTTTCTAGGAAAGAAAACACCTCATATGGGCACTTGTTTTCCTTATTAGGTCCTCTCACTAATACTTGGTAAGGTTATCATATGCACTGAAAATAAAAGCTAACACTAAGAAACCATAAAAGTTCCCCTTGCTGTAGAAATCTATTGTTGTCAATTCACTGTTTCATTTATAGATACTACTTACAGTTCTACCACAGCTATCTTCTGATTAATAGTCTTGATCACAGCTTATTATTGTTTATGGTCTACCAAAAGAAGTTAGCTTTCTTTCTTTCTTTCTTTCTTTCTTTCTTTCTTTCTTTCTTTCTTTCTTTCTTTCTTTCTTTCTTTCTCTTTCTTTCTCTTTCTTTCTTTCATGCATTCATTCATTCATTCATGCATTCATTTATTTATAAATTAATTTACCTCTATTGTTGAAAGTATTACAGATATCCCCCTTTTTTCCCCATTGATCCCTCCTCCCTGCAGTCCCCTCCCTAAGCCTTCACCACACTATTGCCTGTGTCCAGGGGTTATGCATATCTGCCTGTAAGTTCTTTGATTAATCTCTCCCCACTCACTCCCCCACCCCTGCCTTCCCACTGAGATTCATCAGTCTGTTCCACGATTCTTTGTCTCTGGATCTATTTTGTTCCTCAGTCTATTTTGCTTATTAGATTTCACATATGGGTGAGATTATATAAAACTGAATCAGGAAGAATCAGAAAAACCTGAATAGGCTAATAACAACTGATGAAATCGAAGCAGTAATCAAAAAACTCCCAGCAAACAAAAGCCCTGAACAAATGAAAATGAATACACAACACCCCAAAATCTATGGGACACAGAGAAAGCAATTCTGAGAGGGAAGTTCATAGCACTATAGGTCTACCTCAAAAAGCAAGAAAATTTTTTAATAAACTATCTAACCCTACAACTTAAAGAATTAGAAAGCTCCCCTGTGAACTGTCTGGACTGTTTTCTTTCTTTTAAAATTTTCAGCCCTGGCTGGGTGACTCAGGTGGTTGGAGCATCATCTCATACACCAAAAGGTTGTGGGTTTGATTCTTGGTCAGGGCACATACCTAGGTTTTGGGTTAGATTCCTGGTCAGAGTGCGTATGAGAGGCAACTGATTAATCAATGTTTCTCTCTTTCCCCCTTCCTCTCTCTCTAAAAATTAATAAAAACATATCCTCAAGTGAGGATTAAAATTTTTATATAATTTCAGATTTACAGAAAAGTTAAGAGACATCCTTCATAATGTGTTAACATTTTACTACATTTGGTTTATTTGTATCCTTTTTTCTCTCTTCATATTTGTATGTGTATAAAAACACATGCATACATATTTACATATTAATTTTTATGAACCATTTAGGAGTAAGTTGCAGCATGATGCCCTCTATCTCTAAATTCTTCATTGTCTATTTCCTAATAACAGGGAATAAGAATGTTTTTATATTAGATCACACAGCCATAATTCAATTGATTGTATACTGTGTCATAATGTATATAATTCATAAATGGTTCAGGAAATGGTAAAGTGATTAATAGTAATCCAGATATAAACAAGCACAGCTGATCTAACTTCTATTGTAATAAATTTTCTACTTTGCTTTCAAAGACATTAAGACTTTGACATGTACTAAATTATTCCTTTATTATATCTACTTTTTAGTCTGCTGCCCTTGATTGAGCAATATGTAGTCTATAAGTCTATATTTTTAGTAATTTCTGATGGGAATTTGTCAGTTATTTTCCAACTAGGACAATTTAAGGAGATTTGACATCAGGGCTATACTTTATTTAATTATTTAACTGCCTAGTTTGCTTTGTAATAGTATTTAATACCAATATTCAGGTCTGCCAGGTGCTTTTCTTAGGAAACATAATTTCTTCCATTAGCTCTAAGAAACAGGCTTTCTGGTATAGTTATTGCTGAGTTCCGTTCCAAACCTGAGTACATAGAATCTTCCAAAACAACTTAAGTGGCGGGGGACTGCCAAGAACACATCTCCCTCACCCTGCATTTGACAGTGAAGAGCACAGGCCAGATTCAGAATATTCTGAAGACTGACCTTCCTCTCTCCAGGAGGAAGCACTTCAGCCTTACACTTGGATGAAAGCCACAAATGCAAAGACAAGCAGCTTATAAAATAAGCAATTACAAAATTAGAGGGATAAGCAGGAGGGGTGATGGCTAAGAAATGTAAGGTTTCTCTTTTTGGTGATGAAAATGCTTTAAAATTGACTGTGGGGATGGATGTACAACCTTGTGAGTGCCACTGAAATTGTCTCCTTTAAATGGAAGGAATGAATGGTATATAAAATATATCTCAATAAAGCTGTTAAAAAAGTAGAGTAATATATCTGGTCCATTTCATAATTTCTAAATGAAAAATCTATTTTAATATTATAATCTTCACATAGGTAAAGGTTTCTAATCCCTTGATTACCTGTTGGTGACATACAGTTAAAGGAAGACCCTGAGGGGAAAAATCAATGATCAACTTAATGCTCATTTCACAGGAGCAAAAGTCCCTCACTAAATGAAGAGAAAGAAACTTCTAAACAAACATAAAACTCTGCCATTAAAAGTCATGATCAATTTCTATTTTTAACATTATATTGCCAAGAGCTGTTAGAATCAGTAATATATCTGTTAGGATGGAGAAATGAAAAACTTTCCTGTAACACATGGGTCTTTCCTAACATGCCTGTCCGCATCTTAAAGGTTGTGAAAAACGACTATGGGAATTCAGGTGAAATCCAGGGAGGCAGGGCTCTGGTACCTTCTAAGCATCTTTTAGAGATCGTTAATTTAGAAATAAAAATCTTTGATGTGTTTTTACAACCAATTGTGATAAAATTTCTAATAGAACTGGTTAATAAGCTTCTGTTTTTAAATTTTATTATATATAAAGTTACAAGTTGTTGTACCTTTAGAAACTTAGCATCTCATATTGCTTTAATTTTTCTAATCATAAAATTGTCTATGGCATTTAAAAAAAAGAACTAGGGTAGAGAGGAAGAGTGTCCTTCGTACTGGTAGAAACTTGTGCTATAGAACTTTGCCTAATAAGTCAAATCTTCTAAACTATTTCTAAAATCAATCTGTTCATTCTTCTACTTTGTTCTGATCACCTTCATAGATTTTAAATCTGGCTCAGATTAAATAGAGTTTCTCTGTCTTTCATAAAGTCTTAGTATTGCAAAGACCCTTCCATTCCACACCTGGGCCATGCACCCATCCAAGTAGCAATCCTCCACAGCCTCTGTCCTACCTGAGTACATGGCCATATGACCTTCCTTGTACATTTAATGAGGAGAGCTGATGAGATCACAATGGAGCCATTTCACTCTTAGTTCTATGAATTACCAGAATTTTCCTTCTCATATGAAGTATCACCTACCTCCTTGTAATTCTATACATTATTCTTATTTTGGGCCTCTGGAACAACATAGAATAAGCCTATATTTCAGTTGACAGTTTTGTAAGTATTTGACAAAATGGCTTGTTTAAGTGTTCTCTACCAGGCCAAATCCCTGGGTCCTTCAAATATCCATCTTTACCAAACTATGTCTAGGCATATCACCCATTTGATTCCTTAGGATATACCTCAATTTGTCAGTGGCCCTTTTAAACTTTTAGTTTCTATTGAAATTTTTTTTTTCTGGTCTAATTTCTTTTGGGCTTGATCTTGTGTGTTTTTGTGTTTTTTTTTCCTCAAAGTAGAAAAGTAATCTGATCTTGTACCAAACCTGTTTCTTCTGAAGTAGGGGTTACACAGCTCATTTGGGATAAAGACAGTTTGTGAGCTGGTACTACCCCGTGTTAACGATACAGTGGGTAGAGACAAAGATCAGGTAACGTTCATATCACTTTACAAGCAAAACTAGGGGTCCGAAACTGATAGCAGATGAAAGTATTTTACTGTATGTGCATCTTTACCAATGAAAATATGAATTCACCAGATGTGAGTGCCTTCTTAGGGAAGAAGAGAGATGGTGAAGAGACAGTTTGCACTCGTGGCATGGTGTGTAGCCCAGTGGGGAACTATAAGATGCTGAGTGTAAATGCCACAACACCGGGGCTGGAGGGAGGGGGTGCGTGAATGGAAAAGAAATGGGCATATGAGCAGAACTCACTGCCCTAGGAGATGATGAAAGCTAGGAGAAACCAGGTAAGGTTGATTCTAGGAATTCGCTCACACCGTCCCCACTCAGCCTCCAGTGAAAACTTGAGGATGCCTAAAAAGCAAGGGAAAGAACACATAGAAAGGTGAGGATCAAAAATGCAAGAAGAAAGGTCCTTCAATTGAGGTTAACTCTTGGATGAGGCAGAAGGGATACAAAGGAGAATAGACGCTGGACGTTAAAGAGTTCTCAAAGAAAACCAGGTAACATGATAATTACATGCTCAGGACACTGGTCAACTATTTAGAAAAAGTCTTACCGTTAGGAAGTGCAGTTAAAAGCTTAGCATTGATTCTTCTTTCACAGGTAGTAAGTTGTTCTTTGTCTTCAAGCAAGAACTCTTTCTGAAAGCTAAAAATACCTCCATTAATAAAATGTTTAAAGTCAATTTAAATCAAGACATATGACAATAAGTAAAAAAAAAAGTAGAACATAAAAAGGATGCTACTGTTATGTATACTTAAATATGTATATACAGATTACAAGTAAAAGGTTTTATTTTGGGGAATTGGTAACTTTTTTCATTTACTTATAGTTATGTTAATATGATTTTTTTTTTGTACAACTAAATAATTTCATTTGCATAGGCAGGTGGCGTGGCACAGGGCGGTAAGAACATTGTTCAGACTGGCCCCCTGGTCTAGAGCCACCACTAGCAGTTTCAGCTGGGATCAATCACTTGACCTTTCCGTGCTACTCTTTCTTCCTCAGAAAATCAGCAACCTGTCTAGGTGATTCACATGCTTTCCTGTTTTGAAATTATATTAAAGTAACAAATGCCTTCCAACAATCAATAAATCAAAGCATGGCGAATAGGTCTAAAAGCCTCATGAAAATGTGTCCAGGAAGAAAAAAGAGGAAATGAAGGGGGAGAATAAAGGGATGGAGCACTTCCTATGTTCTTTCCTTCTGTGCTAAGCATATCCCATGTATTGCCTTAGTTGCCTTCACAAGTCGCTATGAGGTAGGAAATAAGTGCAGCTCTGATAACTACCTCCTTCCTCCAGGGTGCTTCCCCTTCCCCTATCCTTAAGAGCACTTGCTTTGCTTATTAGCTGGTAGTGTAAATATGCCCACCATTGCCGATTTTCAGGCTCCCCACAGGACTCACACAGCTCAGAACTGGAAGAGAGATGCACATTGGCTCTGATGGGCACCGTGAGCAGGCTCCAGCACACCACCAGAACTCTGATCATTCTTGATTTACAGACTAGGACACTGGTAAATGACTTGCCCAAGAACACATATTTGGCAAGAAGAGTTCATGAGATACAACTCTAGCTCCTGCTCAAATACTATGTGCAGTTGCAGCCCAAGGCTGCTATACATACAACTCCACAGTCTTCCATTGGAACGTGCCTGGAGTTGGGCAAGATGGAGCTACTGCCTCGCAGGAAGAAAACAAACCTAGGTAAATAGAAAACTAATATTCCCCAATGATATAATCACCTCCAGAGAGGTGAACAATCTGCCTGAAAACACATTCGATACAAAGCTGACCCTCTCCATGTTCTGGTCCTATGTTTGTGTTTCTGCCCTACAGAGTACACTTACTTCACAGAGGCCCAAGAACAGACTGACAGGGTGCTGTGCATACCTGATAAGTGGGACATACAGATAATTTATATCCCATGTAGAAATTAAGTGTCAAGGAACTTGCACACAATCCACAGTATGGCACACCATCCCATCTTCCTAGCACCAAGCTCATCTGAAGCCTCAGTTATTACTTATGAATGTGGTGTGGCATATATTCATAAATAGGAATGCCATATATTCATATTATTTAATAAAAAGTCTTGAGAATATACAGTGTTTATAAACCACACTCCAGATGGCTTAAAAAGACCCTAAGACACCTGCTTACATTAGAAACTTAGAATTAGCACTAACTTCTAAACAGTGAATTGTAATGCAGTAACAACTCCTTTCAGTGTTTTATTGAGATGTATGATTTAGTATAAACCTAACAAATTAAATAGCTGCAGAAATGTGCCCTACTTAAGGAAGGACATACTATTTTAATTGACTGATTGTTTAAATATCTTCAAAAAGTTCTGTACTTTGGGGAAACTAAAATCTCAGGGGGGAAAATCTAAATTAAAACAAAATGATGCAATTCCTGAAGTATTCAGCTTCTTAAGCCATTGACCTTGTGGTACAAATATTATCTCATATTTTCAAAAATAAACACCTGTATGTTTCTATTTCCCCCCTTTTTTCTTATCAAAAAGTTCAATAAAGCCACTAATGAAGACTAAGAAATCACCCCCAAGTTAAACATTTTGCTGAACTTTTACAGAGTTGAGTTCACAAGTCATTATCCAACAGGCCCTGGCTCCATGTGCACTTCCTCTCCTAAAACAAGCTACAAATAGTATCATCACCAAACAAAAGTACAGCCTTTCACAGGTGGTCGAAAACCAATGGAAAACCAAAGTGCTATTAGGAACATCTCTCATGCTCTTCAACATGGTTTACTGAAAATGCTGTCTCCTTCACCTGAATTCTGTCCTCTCCACACCCCTTCCATCCTGGCCGAGTTCTCTCCTCGTCTGGGCCTCAGTTTAAAGTCACGTCCTCAGGGAAGAACTGAACACCCTAACCAGCGCCTGTCCCACCCGGCACCGGATCTACATCACGCGCCTGTTATTCTCCCTCGATGGATCCGGTTTTCCTATTTGTAGGTCATATCACAAGGTTCTTACTTTGATTAAAGTCAATAAATATATGTTGAATAAATGAAATAATGAATGACTACAATAAAATACTTTTAACATATGCTACAACTCACTCGGAAGTCTTTCATGTATACACTTTATGTGATAGGTAGGGCCTCATAGTTTTAAATGTTAAGAATAATTAGAAGGGCATATATTTAATAACATCAGTTAGAAGCT